CAAGGGATTCCAGAGATGGTGCTGACCCCTTGGTGTGTAGGGTCAGGTTCTGGGCCCTCTGATGGGCAGGGCCAGTCCCAGGGCAGCTGGGGTTGGTGGGGTTCCATGGCAGCCAGCTGTTGTGTGGGGCTGTGTCCCCACCCACCTATCCACTTGGCCCAGGGTGTCCCAGGGCTGGTGCTGACTGGCTGGTAGGTAGGGCTGGGTTCTGGAACTAGAGGGAGGATTTCAAAATAGTGCTCACAGCACCAGCATCCTCGTGGTGGATGAGCTCCACACAATGCTGCTGTAGCATCTGCATCCCCAGAGTGAGCTCCCACTACCTCCAGTCTCTCTGTGAGGTTCTTCAGCAGAGACTGGGTTTGACCCAGACTCCTTCCAAATGACTGCCTCTGCCCTGGGTCCTGGGTTCTGTGTGAGCTCGGCAAGCATGGAGTCTCTCTTTCCCACTTGTCTCTCTTTAGCTTTGACTTTCTCTGTAAACTTCTAGCTAGCCTACCATTGAGCTCTCAACTATCATGACGCCACCAGCCTCCTCTCAACCATGTATTACCAAGCTCTCCATCATTTCTGAGAGTGCCCTTAACTGGAAACTTCCCCAAGCTCTCCTCCAGAAAAATTCTGTCTCCTTAGGAAGGGTGGTGAACTCTCTGCTTCTTCCCCAGGAGAACCTGGCCCACTACTCCAGAGCTAAGCAGGACATGTGCCTTAGTCACTCAGTCATGTCCAGCTCTTTGTGACCCCATGGCCTGTAGCCCACAAGGCTCCACTGTCCATGGGATTCTCCAGGCAAGAATACTGGAGTGGGTTGCCATGCCCTTTTCCAGGGGATCTTCCCAACTCAGGGATTGAACCAAGTCTCTCACCTCTCCTGCATTGGCAGGTGGGTTCTTTACCTCTAGCACCACCTGGGAAGCCCAAGGACTTTAAATAACTGCTTTTAAAATAATTTTCATCACTTTTGTTTCATTGGAGAGGGTCTGCAGAGTCACCATTCCAATATGTTTTCCATATATGTATGTTTTTACCATTCAATTAAATTTTCTATTTGTGTTTTACAATGTAAGTAATATATTAATTTACTGCATATAATAGAATCATACATACATATAAGTTGCAAATAATCCTACCTGTCTTGTGCTGCTCAAAATATCTCCGAGAAGGTGCTCAATCAAAACTGTATGGATGGATTTATCTCTGGGCTTTCTATTTCGTTCCATTGATCTATATATCTGTCTTTGTGCCAGTACCATACTGTCTTGATGACTGTAGCTTTGTAGTATAGTTTTAAGTCAGGCAAGTTGATTCCTCCAGTTCCATTCTTCTTTCTCAAGATTGCTTTGGCTATTCTAGGCTTTTTGTATTTCCATACAAATTGTGAAGTTATTTGTTCTAGTTCTGTGAAAAATACTGTTGGTAGCTTGATAGGGATTGCATTGAATCAATAGATTTCTTTGGGTAGTATACTAATTTTCACTATATTGATTCTTCCAATTCATGAACATGGTATATTTCTCCATTTAATTGTGTCATCTTTGATTTCTTTCACAGAGTTTTATAGTTTTCTATAAAGGTCCTTTGTTTCTTTAGGTAGATTTATTTCTAAGTATTTTATTCTTTTTGTTGCAATGGTGAATGGTATTGTTTCCTTAATTTCTCTGTTTTCTCATTGTTAGTGTATAGGAATGAAAGGGATTTCTGTGTGTTAATTTTATATCCTGCAACTTTACTATATTCATTGATTAGCTCTAGCAATTTTCTGGTGGTGTCTTTAGGGTTTTCTATGTAGAGGATCATGTCATCTGCAAACAGTGAGAGTTTCACTTCTTTTCCAATCTGGATTCCTTTTATTTCTTTTTCTTCTCTGATTGCTGTAGCTAAAACTTCCAAAACTATGTTGAATAGTAGCGGTGAGAGTAGGCACCCTTGTCTTGTTCCTGACTTTAGGGGAAATGCTTTCAATTTTTCACCATTGAGGATAATGTTTGCTGTGGGTTTATCATATATGGCTTTTATTATGTTGAGGTATGTTCCTTCTATGCCTGCTTTCTGGAGGGTTTTTATCATAAATGGATGTTGAAGTTTGTCAAAGGCTTTCTCTGCACCCATTGAGATAATCATATGGTTTTTATCTTTCAATTTGTTAATGTGGTGTATCACATTGATTGATTTGCAAATATTGAAGAAACCTTGCATCCCTGGGATAAAGCCCACTTGGTTATGATGTATGATCTTTTTAATACATTGTTGGATTCTGTTTGCTAGAATTTTGTTGAGGATTTTTGCATCTATGTTCATCAGTGATATTGGCCTGTAGTTTTCTTTTTTCTGTGTGGCATCTTTGTCTGATTTTGGTATTAGGGTGATGGTGGCCTCATAGAATGAGTTTGGTAGTTTACCTCCCTCTGCAATTTTCTGAAAGCGTTTGAGTAGGATAGGTGTTAGCTCTTCGCTAACTTTTTGGTAGAATTCACCTGTGAAGCCATCTGGTCCTGGGCTTTTGTTTGTCAAAAGATTTTTGGACACCTTATCTTTGACAAAGTAGGCAAGAATATACAATGGAGAAAAGACAATCTCTTTAACAAGTGGTGCTGGGAAAACTGGTCAACCATCTGTAAAAGAATGAAACTAGAACACTTTCTAACATCATACACACACAAAAAAAACTCAAAATGGATTAAAGATCTAAATGTAAGACAAGAAACTATAAAACTCCTAGAGGAAAACATCAGAAAAACACTCTCTGACTTATGTCATTTATGTGATTTATATCACAGTAGAATTCTATGACCCACCTCCCAGAGTAATGGAAATAAAAGAAAAATCAACAAATGGGATCTAATTAAACTTAAAAGCTTTTGCACAATGAAGGAAACTATAAGCAAGGTGAAAAGACAGCCTTCACAATGGGAGAAAATAATAGCAAATGAAACAATTGCCAAAGAATTAATCTCAAAAATATACAAGCATATTAATCTCAAAAATATACAAGCATGCAGCTCAATACCAGAAAAATTAACAACCCAGTCAAAAATGGGCCAAAGAACTAAACAGACATTTCTTCAAAGAAGACATACGATGGCTAACAAACACATGAAAAGATGTTCAACATCACTCATTATCAGAGAAATGCAAATCAAAACCACAATGAGGTACCATTTCACGCTGGTCAGAATGGCTGCTATCAAAAAGTCTAAAAACAATAAATGCTGGACAGGGTGTGGAGAAAAGGGAACCCTCTTACACTGTTGGTGGGAATGCAAACTAGTACAGCCACTACGGAAAACAGTGTGGACATTCCTTAAAAAACTGGAAATAGAACTGCCATACAACTCAGCAATCCCACTGCTGGGCATATATACTAAGAAAACCAGAATTGAAAGAGACACATGCACCCCAATGTTCATAGCAGCACTGTTTACAATAGCCAGGACATGGAAGCAACCTAGATGTCCATTGGCAGATGAGTAGATAAGAAAGCTGTGGTACATAAACACAATGGAATATTATTCAGCTATTAAAAAGAACGCATTTGAATCAGTTCTAATGAGGTGGATGAAACTGGAGCCTATTATACAGAGTGAAGTAAGTCAGAAAGAAAAACACCAATACAGTATTTTAACGTATATATATGGAATTTAGAAAGATGTTACCGGGAGTTGGTGATGGACAGGGAGGCTTGGCATGAGGATTCATGGAGTCGCGAGGAGTCCGACAGGACTGAGCGATTGAACTGACTGACTAAACAACGACCCTATATGCAAGACAGCAAAAGGGACACAGAGATAAAGAACAGACTTTTGGACTCTGTGCGAAAAGGCGAGGGTGGGATGATTTGAGAGAATGGCACTGAAACATGTATATTACCATATGTGAGATAGATCACCAGTCCAAGGTGGATGCGTGAAACACGGAACTCAAAGCTGGTGTGCTGGGACAATCCTGAGGGATGGGATGAGGAGGGAGGTGAGAAGGGGGTCCAGGATGGGGGACATATGTCCACCCATGGCTGATTCATGTCAATGTATGGCAAAAACCACCACAATATTGTAAAGTAATAAGCCTCCAATTAAAATAAATTAATTAATTTAAAAAAAACTATATGGAGAGTTCAGACCTTTCCACACCCCTGGCTTTCCCCCCACATTTCACTTCGGATACATTTAGCTTTTCCATCAGGGAAATCATGGCCAGCGCTCTGGGTCTTCTGAGCCTTCCCCAGGAAGAAACTGTGGAGCCAAGTCGCTCTCCCATGTGGACGAAAGGTCAGTGAGTAAATACTGATAGACACAGACGCACTAATACGAGAACCGTGTGCCTTAAAATCATTTCAGCGAACCTCTCCACTCTTTAAAAAAAACAAAAGAAAAAAAAATTGTGGTACTGCTTCTTCTTCAGGAAGTAGCGGATGGGCGCTACTCCCGAGCGCAAACCCCGCGGGGTACCCCCCAGCGGCCAGTCCCCGGCCCTGCGCTGTGTCCGGAGCCAGGGAGGTCGCGGGAGGCCGGCCGGGGACCCTCCGAAGCCTGCGAAGGACCGGGACCCCTCGCCGACGACCGGACACGCGCAGGAAGGGCGGCGCTGCCTGGGGTACCTCGGGGGACGAGGGCCGCGGCGGGGGGACCAGCCGGCGCTCGCGGAGCTCCGAGCTCGGATGCGTGAGGCCACGGCGCTGGACCCGGGGCGGGAGTGTCTGGAAGGCGGGGGCCGGAGGAAGGGGTGCCTTGCAGCCGCCGGGCCGGGACTCGGGGAGCGGGCAGTGGAGGGCGCGCCCTTAGACGTGCGCCCGGGGCCGGTGCGCGTTCGGACCCCCGGCGACCCCGCCTCCCCGGGCGCCGGATCCAGGGCGTCCCGAGCCCGCGCCGGGATATGGGCGCCCGCGGCTGGGGGAACGCCCCCTCAGCCCGGGAGCGGAGTTGCCGCGGCGGTCGCCGAGGGAGGAGGACCGAGGCGCGGCCCGCTCTGCCCGGGGAGAGCCCGGTGGTCCCCTTCCGCCAGGGATGGAGGGCCCGGCGAGGCCGGCCAGCGCCCCAGGACCCGGGGAAGCGGCGCAGGTAAGGAGCGCGGCCGCGCGCCACCGCCTCGCCCCAGTGGCCCGGTGTCCACCCCTGAACCTGCCCGCTGCCCACCCCCAGCCCTGCCCCACGAACCCCCGCCGCCTCCTGCCGGAGCCCCGGCCGGCCCGCACCTGCCCCTTCGCAGCTGCGCTCCGCGGGGTCGGGGGGCGGGGAGCCCCGCGGTGTAGTTGGGACCCTTCTCCCGTCTTTACCCCCCAAAACTAAAGGCTGAGCCGCGCGCAGACGGGACTTAACTTCTGGAGAGGGAACGGTGGTCCGTGACCCGGCCTTGCGCATCCCTCGGCGGCGGGTGGGTGGGAGCGCCTTTGGGGGCTAACCTGGGCTGCTGGGGCAGAGAGCTCTGAAGTGCCCCGTCTCGCCGCCTCTTCACTGGGGTGGTCTCTCCACCCTCATCCACTTCCCTCAAAGCCCTCTTAGGTGTGTGTGTGCATGCTATCACTTGGTTACGTTGGGATTAAGTATTAATAGGAAGTCGGTGACAGCCATCCAGAGTAGCTGCTGTTCGTAAATTTCGGGACAGTGGCGTGCGGTATTTCTGGGAAGCCGCTGATCTTCAAGTGTTACCTGCTGTCTCGGAGCAGGTGATGCAGGGCTGGGGCTCCGTGTAGATGAGCAGTACCTCGGTGCATTATTTCTGGGTCTTCCTTAAAGGGGTGAAATCCGTGCGAAGCAGTGGAGTTGTAGTTTTTTTAAGTAAGCCTTTTTATATAGCTCTTTTCCTGCTCTTCTTCCTTTCATATGAGCACGTTAGTTAAAAACTATGAAAAGTAGATTTTACAGTATTACTCAAATATTTACTTAAGCTGACCTCCTGGCTCTTGGGGGTGGACTGTTTTGCTGGAAGTTTCGATGTGCCTGGTATTAAAACTTCCTCCGAGGAAACCGTGCCTCCAACAGAGTGCTGTCAGGTGACATCCACTCCAGGTGTGCAAAACGTCCTCCAGGGAACTTTTCAGATTGTAGAATAGTCATATTTTCATGCATTTTACTTTTGTGAATCCTGTGTTCTTTCCATTTTCAATGTTCGTTAGTGCTGATTCAACATTAAGTACAATATTTAGTAGATGTTTCACATAAATCATTAACACAGATAATATACTTGCACTTACAGGCTTAGAAGCATAAAGTGTCCTGCATAATAGTTATCATCTATTAAATATTTCTTTAATCTCAGAAAAAATGTAGTGGTGAGTTTTAACAAATTAAATTCATTAGAGCTACATAGCAGACTATGAAAGAAAGAAGCAAAGCTTCACATTTAACCAATAATTTGTTTGCTTTTTTAAACTATAAAAGCACCTCTTTCAAAGATAATGAGACTCATTTCAATTTTGAAGATGTGTTTTATTCCTCTGGCTAGATCATATTTAAAATATATCAGATTAAATATATAACAAAAAAACAAAAGCAAAAATAAACAAATGGGACCTAATGAAACTTAAAAGCTTTTGCACAACAAAGGAAACTATAAGCAAGGTGAAAAGACAGCCCTCAGATTGGGAGAAAATAATAGCAAATGAAGCAACAGACAAAGGATTAATTTCAAAAATACACAAGCAACTCCTCCAGCTCAACTCCAGAAAAATAAATGACCCAATGAAAAAATGGGCCAAAGAACTAAACAGACATTTCTTCAAGGAAGACATACAGATGGCTAAAAAACACATGAAAAGATGCTCAACATCACTCATTATCAGAGAAATGCAAATCAAAACCACAATGAGGTACTATTACACGCCAGTCAGGATGGCTGCTATCCAAAAGTCTACAAGCAATAAATTCTGGAGAGGGTGTGGAGAAAAGGGAACCCTCTTACACTGTTGGTGGGAATGCAAACTAGTACAGCCACTATGGAAAACAGTGTGGAGATTTCTTAAAAAGCTGGAAATAGAACTGCCATATGACCTAGCAATCCCACTTCTGGGCATACACACCAAGGAAACCAGATCTGAAAGAGACATGTGCACCCCAATGTTCATCGCAGCACTGTTTATCATAGCCAGGACATGGAAGCAACCTAGATGCCCATCAGCAGTCGAATGGATAAGGAAGCTGTGGTACATATACACCATGGAATATTACTCAGCCATTAAAAAGAATTCATTTGAATCAGTTCTAATGAGATGGATGAAACTGGAGCCCATTATACAGAGTGAAGTAAGCCAGAAAGATAAAGACCGTTACAGTATACTAACACTTATATATGGAATTTAGAAAGATGGTAACGATAACCCTATACGTAAAACAGAAAAAGAGACTCAGATGTATAGAACAGACTTTTGGACGAGGGTGGGATGTCTCAAGAGAACAGCATCGAAACATGTATATTATCTAGGGTGAAACAGATCACCAGCCCAGGTTGGATGCATGAGACAAGTGCTTGGGCCTGGTGCATTGGGAAGACCCAGAGGGATCGGGTGAAGAGGGAGGTGGGAGGGGGGACCAGGATGGGGAATACATGTAAATCCATGGCTAATTCATTTCAATGTATGACAAAAAGTACTGCAATGTTGTGAAGTAATTAGCCTCCAACTAATAAAAAAAATTAATTAAAAAATAATAAATAAATAAATAAATAAAATATATCAGATTAAATATATATGCACTATTACATTTTAATCAGCATCATTTCATTATCTTGGTTCTGATGTTTCTTTTAATTTATCAGAGCCTCATTTAGTGGTTAGTACTTAAGATTGTGCCCTACAAGAACTCCTGTCTTACTATGGGTAATATATGCAAGTGTCCATAGACATAGTTACAGCTAAGCAAAAAAAAAAAAACGTAATTTTTTTCTCTCTTGAATTGTATAGTTTAAAAGTGATTTATATGGGAATGATCATGGTAGTGTAATAACCCAAACATTTAATTTTCTAGACATAGGAGATGGTGATTAGTGATTTTTTTAAAAAATACCCATTTTATTGTCTTTTTAGTTAAATTTATATGAAGTAAACACAAGGCTATGTGCTGTCAGTTCTGCAAATGCAGTATTCTCTGTATAGACAACCTCATTTGAAGTATATTTGCATATAAATTTCTGAGTGTAGCACCATCTAAATTAGGAAACAAAATAACTGTGTATAACAACCTGTCTTTTTAGCATATCATTTTGCTATATGTGAGGGAGATGTTTGTTGTGGAATAGGAGGCCTTGGGAAGAGGAAGGAGACAGAAAAGAGATGCTTCCTCAAGGTCATGGACCCCTTTGAAGGTCTGCTGAGAGTTACAGGTGAGTTATCCAGAAAAATGCCCGAAGACGTGTACCTACTTTGGACTCAGTTTCAAGAGGTTAACAACCCTCCAAGCTCAGTCTTGGACCCCAACCAAGATCACTTAAGTTAGATTTTTAGCATGTCAGTGGGCTTGGTTGCTGCACATACAAAGCCCTAAATCATTCCATTATAGCAAAACAGAGCTGCATTAATAATTACCTTCATAATAAAACAATGAAAACTGAATTGGAAAAGAAATATGAATTAGGTATAAATTTATTAAAATGTGCTTATTCTTTTTGTCTGTTTGTTGCTAAACTCTTTTTTCAAAAATAAGGTCTCTGAATGAGTAAAGGAAGAATTTTAATATGAAAATTTTAACTAAAATCATATTACACTGATGACAGAGACCTAAGGAGCAAACAGATATGAAAAACCTAGGACTGGACACAAGCTGTGTTCTTACAGAGAATGTCTGTATGAATCATTGAGTTATTTAGATGAAATTCTGTGGGTTGTGTTATAACTGAGGTTCTGACCAATGACCCCTCTTGGTAGCCGTGATTTCATCCTCTGTATCCTTCTTTAAGATTCTTGACTCAGTCTGTTTGTTTATAATCCCTTAGTTCAAAATGCCATGAGGAAAATATCCAATAAATTGCTGTTCAGAATCTCCTTCTCAGATGTACCCTTAGTAACTGTCTTCTGGTGTTTGCCCTAAAAAAAAAAAAAAGTGCTGTTTTATTGCATTGATTGAGTTCCTGCTTAAACCAGGCACTTTAGGGGTTCTACTTTATCCCGTCTACACCAGCACCCTGTGATTAGGGCCCCCGATAATACAGAAGGAACCTGGGCCCAGAGAGGCTGTCTTCACTGGCCCAGAGGGCTGCTGGGCAAAACTGAGTAATGACATAGACCTGACCCTAAATCTGTGCCTCCCACCACAGACAGAGCACAGAGGGTTTTTCAGTTCAGTTCAGTTCAGTTCAGTCACTCAGTTGTGTCCGACTCTTTGCGACCCCATGAACCGCAGCACGCCAGGCCTCCCTGCCCATCACCAACTCCCAGAGTCCACCCAAACCCATGTCCATTGAGTCAGTGATACCATCAAACCATCTCATCCTCTGTCGTCCCCGTCTCCTCCTGCCCCCAATCTTCCCCAGCATCAAGGTCTTTTCCAATTAGTCAACTCTTCACATCAGGTGACCAAAGTATTGGAGTTTCAGCTTCAACATCAGTCCTTCCAATGAACACCCAGGACTGATTCCCTTTAGGATGGACTGATTGGATCTCCTCATAGTCCAAGGGACTCTCAAGAGTCTTCTCCAATACCACAGTTCAAAAGCATCAATTCTTCTGCTCTCAGCTTTCTTTATAGTCCAACTCTCACATCCATACATGACCACTGGAAAAACCATAGCCTTGACTTGCCAACCAAGCTTCGCAAAGTAATGTCTCTGCTTTTTAATATGCTGTCTAGGTTGGTCATAACTTTTCTTCCAAGGAGTAAACATCTTTTAATTTCATGGCTGCAATCACCATCTGCAATGATTTTGGAGCCCAGAAAAATAAAGTAAGCCACTGTTTCCACTGTTTCCCTGTCTATTTGCCATGAAGTGATGGGACTGGATGCCATGATCTTAGTTTTCTGAATGTTGAGCCTTAAGCCAACTTTTTCACTCTCCTCTTTCACTTTCATCAAGAGGCTCTTTAGTTCTTCTTCCCTTTCTGCCATAAGGGTGGTGTCATCTGCATATCTGA